CTTCATTTACTAATAATCTAATATTTTGAAGTTAAGAAACAAAAATCTTTTCGATTTAATATTAGTATTAAATCTAGTTTGTTCTACTGTGTTATTTTCTTAAAGTTTTGTTTAATTCTTTTAAAGTTAAAGATAATTTGACATACATTATCTTACATTAAAGTTAATGAGTAGGATCGATAAAGGTTAAATTACATATTTTTGAAAATAAACTAGTGAACATCAAATCTATTCGTCTTGTATGAGACTCTCATGTTATTTTTTTATGAAAGATAAATTAAAACATAATTTATATTGCTTTCATAACTTCAGAGAAATTTTACGCTTTGAAGCTTTGAAGTACAAAAAGATTTGAAGGCTGCCAGAGAATATTTTTCAAATGAGAAGTTACAATGGAACAATCTTTCTTGGATTCCGTTTGTTACACCTTTCGCTTTTAGAAATATTTAATAGCTGTTTATTTGAATTTTTGCTTAACGATTTGATATTTTCAACTCATTAATCCATGCAAATCCATGTAATATAATTTTGGGACAAATCCAATAGTGTGAAATGAAAAGAACCGCATCGAAATCGGTCGATCTGTTTAAGAGATTATATGCCAATAGATAAACAAACATACAGACACATAGACACCAATATTGTAACACCTAGTTTTTGTAAGGAATACAATTTAAGGTATATAAGAGGTAAGGAAAATAAAATTTTAATAAAAGAATAAATGGGTAAGCAAACTTTACACAGTGTTGGAGTTCGAAAGAGTGTGAATGACACATAATAAAAGATAGGGTTTTTTCCATAGGAAGCAAATGTATTACTTTCAGTGAAAAAATTTGAATAATTTAGGATAATAACTTTGAAAGCACTAAAAAAAAATCTTTTTTTTATAGATTGTCGTCTGGTATATCAGCAAAATTTATTAGAATAATGAAGACAACGTTAAATTAAAACGACAATTAAAATTTAGAGTTCTAGTATGGTATTAATAAGAAAAGATTAGAATAATCCTTATATAAAACAAAAACAATTTTATCAAATGTTATGTATTTACGTTTGTTGATAGAGGAAATTGTATTATCGATTTTGTACATCACGAACATACAAACAAAATTATATAGAACTTGGTATTATTTCACAAACATACAACATACGTCTCTAGTCTACTAAAAGTAATAGATATAGTCTTTTTAACTTTACCTTTGTCTTGAACTGGTTACTAGACGAATAACTATTCTAGCAAAATAATTTCCGTTTAACCCAAAAATACAATTTTTCACCGGACCAGGACAGTCCCTTATTAACGAATTTCGAAGCTCACGCGGCTGTTTTTAAATTACACGACTTAATTAAAGGTTTTCGTTTCATTATACGACCTTCTGTACTCGTAATACTACGCATTACTTTGACCACTACTTTCACCTACGAATCGCCACAGTTGATATATGTTCTTACAATTTGTACCAAGCTAATTACACTATTAAAATAAAGACCTCTTACTATAGTGTAATTTTTCTTTTTAACTTTATTTTGGTATAAAATTTATAATAATTACTAATATTTATATATTTCTCAAGTCGTGCTAGAAATAACGAACGTGACCCTTTATCGTTTTTGTTTCAGTTTTTAAGAATAAAGTGAAAAGAAGAAAAGTAATTTATCTACATCTTTTTAATCGAATATTGGCTTATTGTTAAAAGGAACTAATAAGCATGAATAATTTAAATTATTTATTACTAATATTATAAAGCTGAAGAGTTTGTTTGTTTGTTTGAAAGCGCTAATCTCCGAAACTACTGGTTCGAATTGAATAATTATTTTTGTGTTGGATAGTCCAGTTATCTAGAAAGGCTTTAAGCTATATAACATCAAGCTACGACCAATAGGAGCAAAGATATAGTGGTATTTGTGTAAAAAACGGGAGAAAGTATTTCATGTTTGAAGCATTCCGTTGCGTGCGCCGTGAAAACGGTTCAAGATACACAAAAAATATGTATTAAAGAATAATAGCTCTTTTAATGATCTAAAAAATACTCCGCGACAGTATATGTCTATCTTTTAAGATTAACTCACAAAAACCGTTTTTATGGTACCTAATTTGGTCGAAATAATTTGTTTAAGTTGTATCAACATAAAAATATTAATCTTTATTCAAATAAACAAATATGTTGTTGGTTAAGAGTACTTCATTGTGAATAAAAAAAACATAGGTTTTATCCTGAAAATTCTACGGGAACTCGACCATTCCGAAAACCCCACAGGAACGGGAACTATGTGGGAAGAACCAAAAATCTGCCGTAAGTCATTATTCCACGCGGACGGAGTCGCGGCAAAAGCTAGTTTATTATAACAGATAACACACAAAAAATATTTTATATTCATGTTTTATAATATCGAATAAACAATGTAACAAAAATATATTTTAAAGACTTGCGAGTATTTGTACCCCACACCTTTTAAATATTATTGGCTAACAGTGTCCCGTGTAACAAAACAGTTTAACAATTATTTGATAATTATTTCATCCTTCCAGCTACTGAGATCATCCAAACATTTTTCCAGTAGTGGGTTTCCTCCTAAACGGGCGACCTGTAAGAAACCTAGGTTGTATACTTCAATTTAAAACAACCATTCTTCAATGAATACTATATGTATATACTTGATTCACCTCAGCCCGAGCTTCTCGATCAAGTTCACTGAGTCTGTTTCTCGTGTACTGTATGCTGCCCGCCTTCTACAACAAACACATACAGTATTTCTTCAAGTCAATATCATGAGTACGCTGCCGTAAGATACCTGAAAATAATAAAAATATAATCACGAAATACTTTACTATCACTGAACTAGAATTTAGTTATGTTTTTATTTATTTACCAAACACCAAAAATAATGCCAAAAATTTACACCAATCTTTATTGGAAACAGAGGATCAAGGAAGCAACTTCGTAAGCGGACCTGATCTCATGAAACGAGTAAAAAAAATCACACGAAGTTCTCAAAACTCTTAATTTTAAATTGATATGTAACTCATCAAGTTTATGAAATAACCTGATGCAATTATGAAGAACTAGCTGTCCGCCCGCAGCTTCGCCCGCGTGGATTTCGGTTATATCGCGTTTCCAAAAGAACCTTTCAAAAGTCCGGGATAAAAACTATTCTATGTTCTTTCTCAAAGTCAACTCTATGTCTGTACCAAATTTCATTAAAATCAGTTCAGTGGTTTAGGCGTGAAAGTGTAACAGACAGACAGAGTTACTTTCGCATTTATAATATTAGTACATAGGGATAATGATTCCTTATTTATCGAAGAGTTACAGTAAAAACTACTATGTTTGACCCACACAAATACGTTCTCGTATGTATACAAATAGTAACTGAGATTTAGTGTACTCACGTAAAACTTCGCTTCCCACTGATGTTTTGGATGCATGTATGATGGGTAACGTGAACTTTCCTTCTGATAAATCTTCACAGAAACTGCCATTGCTGTTTAACTGGAATACACATAATGAATATGATATAATATTTTTTTCGAAGATCATCTTCTACATATCTTCTATATATATAAAAATGGATTGCTGTTCCTTAGTCTCGCTAAAACTCAAGAACAGCTCAATGGATTTATCTTATCTTAGTCTTGAAATGTTCGTGGAGGTTCAGGGAAGGTATAAAAGCTGAAAAAAATTGATTCATCACTGGGAAAACAATATAAAAAGCCCTTTTCTATTTCCCATACAATCGTTTTTTTTGACATTAGATTTGACAACTAACTAATACGTCAATCATTTTGTAGCACTTCAAAACACGGAGATTTATGGCTTACAGGTAAACTTCAAAAATATAAATTAAAAAACGTAATAGATATTTCTTGATGATAGGGCGATACGAAGTTCGCCAGGTCTTCTAGTATATATATAAAAATGGATTGCTGTTCCTTAGTCTCGCTAAAACTCGAGAATGGATGAACCGATTTGGCTAATTTTAGTCTTGAAATACTCCTGGAAGTCCAGGGAAGGTTTAAAAGGTGAGAAAAATTGATTCATTACTGGGAAAACCATAAAAACAGCCCTTTTCTATTTCCCATACAAAAGTTTATTTTGACATTAGATTTGACAACTAACTAATATGTCAATTCTGTTTGATTGAAACAGGAAAAACCTGATTATTTATGGCCTCTAAGACGGAATAGAGTTCGACTGGTCAGCTATACCTACATATTACTCTTGACCAAACTAACACGGACGAAGTCGCTGGCAAAAACTAGTATAAAATAATTATATTAGGAACACAAAATCAACCTCCTTCACATGAAGATTACAATAGTCATCTCGAAGCTAAGAGTAGTGTCCCAGAGGTCGCACTAGATCGTCATAGGTTTTGTCATCATCACTGGCCACTTGTAGTAATCTGACTCCAAGTAATATAATTGTAGCGGTTTCTAAGGAAAAAGGTTTTTTTCAATATTTTTTATGTATATTCTCGTTTCTACCGATTACTTAAGGTTTGACTTAATTCATATAATAAACAATTATTAAAAACAAAGTAAAATATAATGATCGTTAACCCTAGAGTGCTCGCGCTATGAGCATTTTGCCGCCCGCGGCACAATTTTCGTCTTATTTTGTACACTATGCAATTGTCAAGGTCAAGCGTCCGGGTAGCTGGCCCCCGGTCCCTCACCTTCTTGTTTTAGAAATAAGAATTAAATCAGTGCTCGGATGACCGCAGGAGACAAAAGTTGTTGGGGCTGTGTCGCGTTTGGCGGCAAATTGCTCACCGCGCGACTACTCACGTAAGTAAAGTTTGTGGATCTTAGTTTTTACTAATGTTGAAATATTATTTGTTTTCATTGCGTATAGTATTATTTTAATGGTAATATGGTATGATATTAATTTTACTTTTTTTTAATTAATTATTGGGCCTTGTGTTTTTGTTTTATTATGCTTAGTTTATTTCTTTTTTAGATAAATATCGTGTGAAATGACAAACAAATACTTGCGTGGTTGGAAGAGGAGAACGATGGCGAGGAAGATGAAACTGTGTCTGAAAGCGACCGGGAAAGTGAACATAGTGATCATTGTACTGACACGGAGCAATCAGCGGCAGAATCTGACAAGGATGAGCCATCAACCTGTCGCGTATCACCTGTGCCTACTCAGGAGTCATTACGGCGTGGTCGTGGAGCTGGAGCCGCACTAATACAAAATACGCAATCTATCACACGTAGTTCTACTGTAACGCAAGTAAGTCGAAGTCCATCCCTAGTCAGCACGTCCCAGAGACCTTCGAGGCGTATACAACGTCAATGCACAATAACACAAAGATTTTGCCATGGCTATGATTAGACCACATATCGTTAGACGATCCGGCGTGATTACTTTACAGAAGGATCTGAGGAACCAAATCGCTCGATTTGTGCCACCGGAACATCAAAATATACCCTCAGTCCGAGAAGGAATATGCGCAGTATGTCCATCGAAGAAAAATAGAAGGACAAAAAAAGGGTGCAATAGATGTGCAAAATTACTGTGCAATGAGCATTGCATATATATGTGCCAGCATTGTTTTGATGAAATACATGCTGTAAATGAGGAAAACGAATGATTTAGCTCTTAAGTTCTATTTTTATATTTTTTATTTAAATAATAATGAGGAAGTTCCAAAAATACTAAAATAATTACCTAAGATTTTCCAAAGCATTGTATTCTAATTTCTAATTAAAAAAGTTTAATAAATGATTCTTGTTCTTATAGTTGGTGTTTTATTTTATCTTTAAAACATAATTACAAATGCATATGATTCATATTAACAAAAAAAAAACGTATTAAGTACGGGCGGCAAAATGCTCCCTACGCGATCACTCGCGTTTCACGAGAAGGCGCGACTACTCTAGGGTTAATTGGAAAAACATTCACATTTCAATTAAATTTCTCTAAAACTGTTATAATAAATTTAAAATTTGATGGAAATATAAAGTCTGTTTAATGTTTTATACTGTGAGTGAGATGTTCGTTCATCTGATAGTAACGATATTTATATAGAACAGATTTGTAAAAACGTAGAGGTTAGAAAGATGTACAAATAAGTCTTAGATTACTCATACGTGTCAACTTTTTGTATTGATCCTCAGTGGGGCAAACGAAGTTTTGCTCCCAATAAATCTCAGTGCCTTGTCCCTGCCACATTTCGTGTATTTGATCCGCGAATCCCTTGACTTTCTGTAAAAAAATATATCTTATTCATATAATTATTATACGTAGTCTACTTTATTGTATCATAAAAAATTTCTACAGTTTTCAACTACACTTTATGAAAAGATTTCGTTCTACAATTTATATTTTAAGTTACTTCTGTTAATTATTAATTACATCAATAAATAGTTATAATCAGACCGAAGCATCTGGTGCTAGCTCGAGGTCTATTTTCATTGACTCCACCATTACTTGAACAGCACAGTTTACGGCCAAGGGAACACCGTAGACCAAATGTGTTGTTGGTTTTCCTCGACGAACTAAAGAGTTGTCCTGGATATCATCGATCCTTTAAGTGAAGAAAAAAAGTATTAAATATATGCTTAAATAATAACTTAACAGCCACGAAAATTAGGTAGGAACGGACAAAAAAATTTCTGTGATAATTTTCACCCAAGCGTCTTGTAGTTTTTTAAATAAATCATCGGGAACTTTATACCGGTAATTGAAAGACCATGTTATTCTGCCACGAAGGAGTACTTCGTTAAATTCTGTAAAGTGTGTTGAAGGGGCAAGAAGCTCCTGTGAAGAATACAAGACTTTTATTCTAGAGTAAAACTTCTATCTAATTAACAATCGCTAATTCTTAAACTGAAAAGAAATAAGTATGAATTGGTCTCTTAAACATTTAATAATTTAGATTTTAGACACTGACCTTCTCCAAGTATTGTTTTTCATCTTTATTATTTCTATCCATTGCAAAATTTCAATTCCAGCTAGTGTCTTCTGTAAAGTATCACTTGACAATGACTTCTTCTTTACCTCAAATCTCTATTTCACCCCCTTGTTAGACCGGTCGTCCACTTTCTTGCCGTCTGTTCGCAGCCTGCCGCCAGTTCGTCGTTAACGAATGCCTTGCTCGATTTCCATGTCGAACCACTAGAAAATTTATTATATTATAGAAAATAACAAATGAAATGCAATAAAATATTTCCTATTGACAATACTAAAACGGACATAACTTTTATATCTATCTATATACATATACATAAATATATAATACTACAAGTGTATCCTTGCAAGAAAAATCTTTGGAATTCATTATTTTAAGTAATAATTATTAATATTACTATCTTATTTTTTTAATACGAATGTATACTTACTAAGAAATATTATAATTAGATATACCTCATTTTACAAACGAATAATAAATAATTATTTTATTGTAAATTTTACCTTCGTCAAGTCAGTAAGTCTTTTTCGGAGATATTAAACTAATAAAGTCGGCAGACTATTTATAATATACTTATCGCTATTAAAGATATTATTAAGATATACAATTTATAACACAAATGGTATTATGTGTTTAGCGAATTATGGTTTAACAATTTAAACTACTTAAAAGCCATTAATACAGAAGGAGATTACTTTTCGTAAGCGATTGTACGCGTGCGAGTGTCGCCGTAGCGATGACGGACAAGCGTCACACAGCTAAAGACTATGTGGACTGACCGACGTCCGACTGTCATTGTCGTGACAGGCGTAGCAGTGTTACCAGAATTATTTTTTTCGAATCAAGATTTTTTTCTTTTTATTAATTGCATTTTGTTTTAAAAAGTATTAATAAATAATTAAGTTTATAAAATATTATCGTAATAATTACATTAAAATAAGAGTATTTAAATATTCTTTAAATATGTATTACATATTTTTAAATAGATAAACCTTTGATAGAACTGATTAAAAAAAAATTAACATACTAAAATAGGATAAAGTACTTAATTTAGAAGTTATAAGTACCCATTTTCTTATTTTGTAAGAATACGATAAGGTAATTACAATCAAAATTAAATTAAAAATTACAATCAACACGAACAAAGGTAAGCCGGTCCTTTTCCAGTACACAATAACATACCATCGAACCCACATTAGTAGTGAAGCCACTAGGAATTGATATAAAATTATGTACCTATACAGGGTGACTGGTGAGTTACTATCAATATTTAAGGACGTGGTAGTTGACGATCATATATGACAAAATAAAAATTAATATAACATAAATATTAATAAACTTCTAAGTAAAGTTAACCAAAAGTTATGTAATTAATTACGGATCGCGTGGATACCCTAGCTGCGTTATCGACACAAAACAGTTATGTACGTAGGTATATGTAGTTATCGCGCGGTAGTTTACCTACATCCAAACGCCGCGCGCCGCCGCGTGTTAGACCTTAGATAAACAAAAATGATCCATTTCCCTTCATACTTTAATCCTGGCTTAGGACAGGCAAAAATACCAAGATATTTCTTTCGTTTAAGCAACCAATTTATTGACTAGGTAAATGGTGTGACCTTGACACAAAAAAAATATGAACTGTTTACCTATCTTGGTATTTCCGGCGTATTTAAAAATGGAATCATACTTATTTACAACAATTGTCAATCATTAAACTACCTATTTACCTACATAACTACTCTAACCTTAACAAATGTTCAAAGTGAGCTCCTTCTCGTGTGATACACAGTTCGGCACGTTTACACATATTGTCTTTCACACGATTTAATACGAATGGGTCACTTTTAATAGTTTTGAAATCACTATTGATTTTTAATTTCAACTCCTCTCTGTTTACATACTCTGTAGCATACACAAGACGTTTCCTTGGGCATGTGTTGGAACACGGAACTGTCCGAAGTCTCGTAATCTCGTAATCTTGAAAATTCTGAATCTACAAGCGGAGAAATATGCAAATAACTGTTTTTAGGATGCACGAATGAAGCAATCGATTAGCGATTAATTAAATAAAAATGATTATTCGATTGTTTAACTACAAAATAAAAACTTTACTCCTAGTTTTAAACTTATAGTAACTTCATTTAAACTACACCATATATGTCTATAATTCAATAAAAATAACTTTTAATAACGTGTATTAATATAATAATAATATTAAATATTATTTTAAAAGATTCTTTTCGATTATCGATTCCATATCGATCGAAATCATTCAGTATATAGTCTATGGCAACATGACATTGACACTTAACAATTACCATGCAAGATGCATTGTTATCTGAGTCTGACTTGTTTCGTGTTTTTTGATACATTTCGAGTGCTTTCCCGATCATTTTACGTTTTCAACGACCACTGCTTTGTTTTTTACAGACTCCGAACCCGCCTAACGTTTTACGACCCTTGCTTTCACATTGGACACCGACGATCGCCTGCACGTTTAACTTGGAATTGTTAATTTGGATTATTTCGCCGGCTTATGGATTGGATATTACTGAAACGATTGATCGCTGTGTGAATTGTGGGATAGCAACTAGTAACATTGTACCCCCTGCACAGTTCCTAGACGATATTGTAATTATTATTGAAGGCAATAAAATTCATATTCCATTAAAATTGTTTTATTTTATGACTTTTATCACATAGTTCAATACTCCTGTTCCTCGTAGAATTCCTAACTTGTTACCTATATCTGTATGTCTTTGAGTCTTTATTGCCTTGTTTTGACTTATCAGATATTCTCTTCTAAATAAAATTATTATTTTTCACATACTTTTACGTGTATTCATCTAACTCTTAAAGATAATGCAATATATCCTCACTTTTACTCAACCTCCAATAACTCAGCGATTTGATTGTCAATTTCTATAGAATTTTCAATGAAGTAACTCTTAATTTTAAACCTTTAATTGATACTTTTTTCATGTCTTTACATTTAGGGCCCAGAATTGTATGAAATACTTTTGATCTCCTTTCCTTCTAAATTAGAATATTTTTTAGTTATTTTTATTTATATTATTTTGTTTTCGTGACAGAATTTATTAAATTATAACTATTATAAGAACATGCATTTATTTAAGTTGCATGATAAAATTATATTTGAAAGACAACTTTTTTTGCTTTTACGAAGTTATTCTTGAGGTCGTATCTTAAGGTAATGCTTTAAGTTGTTCAAAAAATAATAAGGTTTTAAGAAATATACATCTATTCTCTTTTGGGATATACTACTTCATCAGAATAGAAATACATTTATATAATACTATTCATAATATCATTACGCATGAAATTAATACACTTTAATATATATGTATATATATACACAGTATGTTAACTAACAGAGTGCGTTTCCGTTAATCCGTAA